TATAGTCATAAGATTTTGGAGTGCTACACCTTGCACCCCTCCCAACTCCTGGTTGAGTTCCAATAGTACAGATCCGGGCAAATTCGTTGTCTCACTGTATGCACATGCCAGCCTAGACATCTCCCTCCTCATTCCAATGGCAAGTCCAGGAAATGGTGGGGTGGATGCAGCCACAACTGCAGCATCATCCGGATCCCTGTGGAGGCTTTTTGATGATCATCCCCTGGCACAAGTCCTCCAGAGAGTGCTGATGCTGGAAGCCTCTCCTCATATCGTATCTTAGTTCATTTTCTGGGTAGCCAAGTTAGGCCTTGATCTTCTGCATAGAAACAAACAGTATGGTCAACATTTTTTTATAGCTATGTAGCACTCATCTGTACCCACATACCTTAATTTATTTCACTGATTCTCCATTTATAGACAGTGGCTTATTTATCTTATTTTGCAAGCAATAGTGCAGTGTATAATTTATATACAAGTTATATATTATTATTTTCTTTAGGGTATTTCCTAGAATTAAGATTAATGACTCAAAGGATATACATATATGTTGCCCATTGTCCTTCTGAAAGGCTGTTATCAGTTTACATGTCATTCTTGCATAAGCTATCTCACCAATGTGGAATTTTAATCTTTTAAATTTATCTAAGGTTTAAAGGTTTTTTTATGTTATTGGCCATTTTTGTTTGTCTTGTGAACTGCTTTCTCACATCATTTGCCCATTTTGCTATTAGGGAATAGTTTCAATTTTTCATTGGCTGGTAATAGATCTTGTAGCTTAAGAAATATTAATTATTTAACTATCATGTTGCAGGTATTTTTCTCAATTTTTTCATTTATTTCAGCCTGTTGGATGGTTATCTTATGGAGTTAATTTTTATGTATTCACATTTTTGTGACATGCTTAGAAAAATCTATCCTATTCCTTCATTCTAGAGACTTTCACCCACATTTTCATCATATCTAAAAATAAAAAGTTCATGTTATTATTTTCAGTGTTTTGAAAGTCTGGGTGAAGGAATGGATGAAAGAATTTCTGGTTTTTATGAAATTCTTTATCATCCTGAGTTTGTTTGAAGAAACCCGTTTTTTACTCCAAGTTTATTGATCTTATGAGCTTTTTCTGTTTTTCTCTCAAGTAAAATGAATGACTAGATTCATACCATCAATCCAGAAACCAGGTCTGCCATAAGCCTTGGTCATTTGTGATAGACAATTTGAGAAGCTTTATAATAAATGTGTTCATTTTGTTTCTTTCATAACATAAAAGCCTTTTTCAGAGTGCAGTTTTGCTTCCCCTAGTGACTATCAAGCATAATATTCAGATTTTGGTAACATATAATTCATTTTCTCAATTTTCAAGGTTTTAACTTTGGACTGCCTTTTTGACATCTTCCTTGCCTTCGTTTGCTTAAATAATTAAACATTCAAAACCACCATAAAGCTCCTTAGTGGGGGAATTGTTTACTGAAGTTGATTTTGAAGAAAAAAATTACAGTACATGTAATAAAATATACAGGCATTATTAACTGCTGCAGAAATGTAACTGCCAGTATAGAAGGATGTTTTTTGGACTGCTGCCATGTGGAAGGAAATGTACAGTATATGTGATACAATTTTTAAATTATGAATATAAAATATCACATACAAATTTGAGATTATCTGTTTATATTCAAAGATTAACTATGGTTGTCTCTAGGTGAGTGATAAAAATATTCTTTATGTTCTTTTTAATGTGTATTTTTCTGTTGTGAGCAACACAGGACACATGCTGAGGATTTCCAGTTGATGTTTATTGCATACTTATTCTAAGTAAAAAATTTCCTGAGATTATAAAAACTTTTTATATATTCATTTTCTTTCATACCTTATGTCCCATTTATATCAAGCCTACATAATGTCTTTAATAGTTATTTGCTATTTTGGTATCAAATAGCTAAACTCCAGAAAAAGCTTTGACCTAGAAAAGGTTGGAACCTGGACAATGCTAATAAATCACTTTCTGCCAT